GAGAAGCACAAACTTGATCAACAGGATCATACGAGAAGAATTATTTTGTGCTTGTACAATAACCCTCTGAGTTAGATCTATTTTTACCTTGTAGGACCTTCCAGCTTGCAGAAAACGGAATATACATGGTCAAAAGATCAGGTGCAGACTTCTCGGATCTTGTTTCACCTACTTGTTATTCCAACTTGCATTGAACGTTTACCTGCCTCTAAATTTAGAAATATGGTAGCTCCTATTATGTTCTTGTATTCTATATTACAGAACTTTGTTTACTGGGAAGCTTAGGGCTATTTTATATTTTTGTTTTTCATATGAAAAGTTCAAAACACCTATTGTTTACACGTCGTCTTCATTTTTGTGTGAAATCTACTTTAAAAATTTTTAGAAAACAACTTATACTGTTTCCTAAAAATGGGGTTTTTCAAAAAAAATTCTTGAAAATAGTTTATAATGTATTCCATCCCTCCCCCTCCTTAGAAAATACTCACTACCTAAGCCACAGAAAATGCTTTTTGACTGTTAGAGATATATATTATTTTATATTTATCTATCTGTATTGTAGATGTATCTCATCTCTTTTTCTTATACTTATCTCTGATGTATTTCTATCTTCTTTCCTCAGCCTATAAATATAGGCTTCTTGTATTATATTCAATACAATTCAATATACAGTCTCTCTACTTTCATAACATGGTATCAAAGCCTGGGATACTCTCCTAGCATTTTTTTTCCTCACGTTTTTTTTTTTTTTTTGGTAGATTGCTTCTATCCTCTGTCAGTTTCTGTTGGTTTTTGCGTATCTAGTTCATTCCTGTTTCACTGTTTGGACTATATCCACCTCTTCGTCTCTTCACGACGAAGCCAACGTCACCAGATTCGCCTTCATTGGCCTCTGAACATGCCCTCATGCACCTCCCGAAGCCCAGTGCGTCGGTTGACGCCGCCGCTACTCTCAGAACGCTCCCGCATGCGTTGTCTCCTCTGGTTTCCTTGGCTTGCCCATCATCTTCTGCATTAGCCGCCCTTCCGCACCCGTGCCTCAACCGCTCAAACGTCGGCTTGCCATCGGCTTTCGTATCAGCCGCCATTGGTTTCCATCCCAGCGCCTCTGTCGATCTTTCGTTGGCTTCCGCATCAGCTGACTCTCCTTGGCTTCCGGTCATCTTCCACCTCAGCTGCTTCTCCTGTTCATCAGCCACTGACATCAGCCATACACCATCACCGCCACAGTGTTGACATCAGCCCTACCTGTCCCTAAGGTTTTTCAGCGTTCTGAATCTGTTGGTGGCCTCCGTTTTGGCATTTATGGATCGTACAGAGAACATCCAATCTATTTCTATTATCCTTGACGGGTCCAATTATGTTAGCTGGGCTCAAGCTCTCTCCAGTTTCATCAAAGGCAAACGCCTTTAGTGGATCATTACTAGTGTTCTTCCCAAACCCACCCAAAAGGAGGAAAAGACGGACTCTGCATTCAATGGCCGTCTTGACGAATGGGAAAGTAAGAATTATCAAATTATCACATGGTTTCGGGCTACCTCAGTTCCTTCCATCCACCTTCAATTTGGACACTTTCAGGATGATGACTCTCTTGCCTCTCTTGCCAAAGCAATTTGGGATTTTTTGAAGGACCGTTATCAGACCACTGGACATGCTCATCAATATCAATTGTTACAGACTCTTCATCACATGCGCCAGGCTCCCGGTCAGTCTCTCAATGACTTCCTTTTCCAAATGTCATCTGTTTGGGACCAGCTCACTCTTTCTGAACCTCCATAGGCTCATTCTGATGATGCACAACTATTTATTACTTATCGGAATCATCAGCGACTATTATATGATTATCACTGGAGATGACACAGTGGGTATTTCTACTCTCAAACAGTTTCTCCATCGCCAGTTTGAGATGAAAGATTTGGGTTCCCTTAGATACTTCCTTGGCTTGGAAATTTCTCAAGATTCCTCTAGTTATATTCTTACTCAGGCCAAGTATACTTCTGATCTCTTGGCTCGTGCTAGCCTTACCGATTGCAAGACTGTCACTACTCCAGTTGATCCTCAGACTCGTCTTACACCTCTTGACGGCCCCCTATTGTTTGATGCCACTTTATATCGTCAGCTAGTTGGTAGTCTTGTCTATCTCACAGTTACTCGTCCAGATATTGCTTATGCTATTCACATTGTCAGTCAATTTATGAATGCTCCTCGCTCTCCACACTATGCTGCACTGGTTCACATTTTGTGCTATCTCAAAGGAACTCTGTTTCATGGTCTTCACTACTCCCCTCACTCTTCTCTACAGCTGCATGCCTTTTCTGATGTTGATTGGATAGGGGATACTACTGATCGTCGTTCCACTACTGGTTCTGCTTCTTCTTGGGCAACTCTCTCATTTCCTGGCGTAGCAAGAAGCAAACCCTTGTTGCTCGTTCTAGTACCAAGGCTGAGTATCGTGCTCTTGCTAACATTACTCAGGAGCTTGTGTGGCTTCGTTGGCTTCTTTCTGACATGGGTGTTTCTCATTTTGCTGCCACCAATCTTTATTGTGACAATCAAAGTGCTATTCAGATTACACATGACGACGTCTTTCATGATCGTACCAAGCATATTGAGATCGATTGCCACTTCATACGACAACATGTTACTAGTGGTCATATTCGTCTTCTCTTTGTTACCTCTGCTGATCAGACTATCGACCTCTTCACCAAAGCTCATCTTCCAGGACGCTTCTCTGATTTCCTCTCCAAGCTCAAGTTGATATCTGACTTACCACCTTGAGCTTGAGGGGGGGTGTTAGAGATATATATTATTATTTTATATTTATCTATCTGTATTGTAGATGTATCTCATCTCTTTTTCTATACTTATCTCTGATGTATTACTATCTTCTTTCCTCAGCCTATAAATATAGGCTTCTTGTATTACATTCAATACAATTCAATATACAGTCTCTCTACTTTCATAACATTGACCAATAGCTACATAAACACATTTTACATTTTGTCATTGTTGATTGAGGATTGTATCTGTGGTTACTGCTGTATTACTGGTCTGTTTGTCTCCAATAATTATAATTCTCATTGATGTCGGTACGTGCATAGTGCTGAGTAGCACGTATCAATGGCAAGAGAGAGAATGTCCTTTCGTCCGGCTTGTTATCAAAGAGAGTGAACCTCTTTGCTAGAGGTTCGCTCTCGTCCTCTTAACTCTCTTTAACTTCCTGAAAGCTAAGTAAGCTAAAACAAGCTTTCCGTGTCATTTTCCATTTTTTTAATGTTTTTTGAGAACAGAAAACAGTTTGAAAAAACAAAAAAACAAAAAAAGCTCTTAATATTTGTTTGTCATGATGAGTTTGGGTTCCTTATTACATATTCGATTAGATATATGGGACATCCTAACGGAAAAGTAGCTCGGGCCTCGCATTCACTGTTTGTGGCATTTGTATCTTCTGGGAAGGACTCTAATGATGACAAAAGAGTTTTACTAAAGGAGCAGCTTGTTTTTTATTACATTCAGAGATCATTGGAGGTATTATTCAAAACTCCTGATTACCATACTTGTCAAGTTCGAACTTGATCATGAAAATGAAAAAAAAGTAGCTCTGTTAATTTGATTTGTTGATGTAAATATAGGGATATCCTGGCATCACCCCTTTTGAGGGAATGGCTTCTGGAGTTGCTGCCTTGGTTCGTCATCTTCCCGCTGGAAGTCCGTCTATATTCTACACTATCCACAGTTTTGTTGAAAAAACTCAGAACCTCTGCTGTGAAGTTATGCCTGAAGAGGCTGATCTGTGGGAGAATTGGCAAGAAGAATTGGAGCCTTGTAAGAAAATCTAGGTTGTGTTTGGTAGAGTTTTCTAAATATAATTTGAGAATAGGAGTTGTATTTTGAGTTTGTGAGTTTTGAAATTATAATTTGAGTGAGGAAAATTTGTTTGGTGAATAAGTTTTGAATTGAGTGGGGAATTTTTGATGTGACATATGATATTTGATACAAAAACTTACAACTCATAACTAAACACACAATTCAAAATTTTATTAAAGCTCATAAAAAAATTTTAAAAATTCAGAAAATATTTTTTATTGAATATATAAAAATTAACATGTGTCAATTGCGCAAAAAATAAATAAATAAATAAATAAATTGCACTGTTCTGGTCAACTGATCGGACGACTGATTAGCCCCAATTTTCCCGCGTACACCGCATTTTCAAAAGTAAACGCAGAATTAATTTTGAAAATGGTAAACAAACACCATATTGAAATCAAGCTCTGGAACGTTCCAGAGCTCCACCAAACAGAGCCCTAGATTTTCTTTTAAGGCTTCTCTCCCTGGTGGACATACAGGTAAATTCTAATGAATAGTTAGTATTTGTATTGTTTTTGTTTTGAATGAATATTTTATTCATAGAATTCAATGTTAAGGTGTTGATAAGTTTACCCAGGTTTCTATTTTTTCTTAGGGCCCGTTTGTTTTGGGTTAAGTAGATGGGAGGGGATTAAGATGGTGGAGGTGTTATTTAATGTTGTGTTTGTTTGTAGAGTTGGGGAGGGGATTAAGATGGTGGAAGTGATATAGATGGAGGTTGGGGAGGGTATTGAGATGGAGGTTGGAGAGATGGTATTAGAAAAATAATGAGGGGATTAGAAATTTTTTTATTTCTTTTATTTGTTATATATTGGGAATTTTTTTATAAATATTAATGTTTAATTTTTATATTTTTTTATTTGTTTTATTATTTTATATAAAAATAATTTAACAATTCCTACACTAACAATTATCATCAAAACAAATACAATTTTACTCAATCCCCTCACTAACAATCTCATCACTATTAATCATCTCCATTCTACCTCTGAAAACAAACGGGGCCTGAGAAACATGAAGCAGGAAAACCCTAAAGCAAAGTAAATAAATTCATTATTCATTGCTAGTTTGCACATAGTATTGTGCAGCTTGAGATTTAAATCCTCAATTGCAAGCTCAACCTCTTCTTGTCAGAATAGCAAGAAGAGGTGTTGCCCTCTGCAAGGTGAGGCCGAACGTATCAGTCCCAAATTTTTCGGTGTCAAACCATCAGGAAGTTTCCAGTCCAAATGATACACAAGTGATGCAAGCATCAAGCTCACAACCCTTTGAGCAAGAGGAAGTCCAGGACACATCCGACGACCTGAACCAAAAGGAAGAAAGGCGAAATGCTGGCCTCTATACTCCATATTAGATCCCAAAAACCACTCCGGCATAAATTGAGTTGGGTTTTCCCAGTAAGCAGGGTTTCGAGCAATTGCCCACACATTCACAAGGATTTGGGTGTTCTTTGGTATCTGAAAATCACACAGCTTCATGTCTGTCTCACTCTTGTGGGGTATACGAAAAGGCAATGATAGGTGCAACCTCATTGTTTCTTTCACAACAGCATGTAAATAGGGCAGTGCAAGGATTTTGGGTTCTTCTATTCTTCCTTCTTCTCCTACTGCTTTTTTAACTTTTTCGCGCACCTTCGACATTATATCGGGATGGCGTAGCAGTTCAGTCATTGCCCACTCAATCAACTCTGTTTGAACTAGTTTCAGTTCCTGCAAGTAGTAACTCCTGTGTAAAAAATTTGGTTAGAATTGATAAGCTGATCTGAATTAGTTCAAACTATAATAATTGGTTTGAATTTGAAAAAATATAATAAAATAGTTCTTATCCTAAATAATAAATCACAAACTATATCAACTCACCAATATTTATTTATTTATTTTTATAAACACAAATATTTTATCTTAAATTCGTTTTTAAATTAGTAATTGGGGTAGTTATTGGGCTACATGGTCTAGTTGAGGGGCTGTGGGAAGGAATTCAGTAATTTAAACTGTTCATATATTAATGTCTCACGGATAGATTATTTATGTAAAAATTCAGTAAGAGTATTTTTTATTAGATCAATCTGGTTTGAGAAAGAAAGAAAGCATACCCCAAGTAAGATTATGATATGTTTGTAGCCAAATTCAGATCCATGTTCTTGGCTGTAGTCAAGGAGGGAATCCATTAAATCCCTATAACTTGGCAGATTCGACTCTCTATGCTTGAGCCGCCTGGTCACGAACCCATCACTCACAGCATAAAACAAGTCATAAGCAACCTTTCCTCTGCATCTTAATCCCTGAGGATCCAAAGGCTTCAAACCATGGAAACACATCTGCAATGTTAAACTTTCCATCTACCACCATGATCGTTTTCACCGTATTCAGGAACCCCTGGGCCTCTCCACACTACAAGAAAAAGCGTTTTTGGTGACTAAAACTTCATTTTTCGTCACTGAAAGTAGTAGAATTGGCGACTAAAATGGAATTAGTCACCAAAATTGAACACTTTTGCCGACTAAAAGAGTTTAGTCGCCGAATACAAGGGTTTTAGCGACGAAAAGGCAGTTTAGTCGCCGAATGTAGGGGTTTTAGCGGCTAAAGGTTGTTTAGTAGCCAAAAGTGACGGTTTTTGGCGACTAAAATAATTTAGTAGCCAAAAGTGATGGTTTTGGCGACTAAAAAACATTTTCGTCGCTGATTATAGGTGTTTTGCCGACCAAAAACAGATTGGTCGCTGAAAATGAAGCTTTTTTGCTACAAAAAAAAAATTAGTAGCTAAAAATAGTCAATTGGTGACTAAAATTCAGTTTAGTAGCCAAAAGGGGACGTTTTTGGCGACTAAAAACAGATTTAGTCGCCAAAACTGCTTATTTTTAATTTGAACTTATTTTTTTAGTGACAAAAAATTAATTAGTAGCCCAAAATAATAGAATTGGCGACTAAATCCAAAAGTGGCCTAAATTTTTTTTAATAAATAATTTATTTTTTACATAAATTATATTGAATAAAAATAATTATATTTATATATATAGTTTTGTATTAATACCGGTCAATATACTATATAAATAATATATATTGCATATATATTCATGTGATGTTGAAGTGGCATAGTGGAGGGAGTGTGTTGCTAAAGATGTTGGCAGTTCGAATGTGGGAGAGGTTGGCGGTTCGAATCTTAGAAAAAGCAAAGAAATTGGTTTTTTTTTTTTTCACGGAAGGACCTTTGGCGACGAAAATTTTAGTCGCCAAAAGTGTTTATTTTGGGCGACTAAACCGTTTAGTCCGCGATTCATGGACTATTGGCGACTAAAAGATTAGTCGCCAAATGTGTGATTTTAAAAAGTGTAAATCGCTATTGGCGACTAAAAAGTTGGTCGCTAAAGAGCTATTTTTTGCCAACTAAAAAAATTTTAGTCGCCAATACCTCCGGTGACCATATATACATGACAAAAGGGGCGACTAAAAAAATTAGTCGCTGAAAGTAAAAACTCAACTTTCGACGACTAAAAACGAACTCGCCAAAAATGCTTTTTCTTGTAGTGCCAGACTCGAAACCAGCCACGTTTACAGAGAAACAAGTGTTCGACATCATATTCCGAGCAGTAATGAATGCCAACTCTCCGATCGCCCCCGTTTGATCGCCCCCGTTTGATCTCGTCTCTCTTCAACATGCCCAATCAACTCTTCCACAGCCTTGTGTCTTAGTCCCCGCAACGATTCTAGCTTCTGCAGATGCGTCAGGTACGTGTTCAGCGCACGGCGAATAATCCGCCATTGATCACGCGGCTAGCTCGAAGTGCTAGTTGGGGACAGCGTTAGGGACGATCCTGCCAGAGAAGGCCTCATCGTGTTTTTGGAGGATCTCCCTGGTTGTGTCTGGCGAAGAAGCTACCACGCTGGTTCTGTTGACGTATGGTCATGAGTGGGCCATACGTCTTGGCTAACTTTGCCAGTGATTCATGGGGCTTTGGACCCACCTCGAAGAGGTTTCCAAAGAAAGGGGGGCTTATGGCGCCTAGTGGGAGGAGTAGTGTTGTTCTTCTGTTACGAAACAATGCAAGGCCACGAATGATAAGCATGAAGAAACTCCATTTTGGGCTCTATGTTATGTTCAGCTCACTATGAGTATCTTTCTATTCTGTGATGACAAATAAACAACCAATCATTCAAGTGTTTCAAAGCGAACACACTTTAATATCCGCAATAAATTCTGCTGTACTAAACAAAACAAACGAGTGCTCTTCAAACAAATCAAAACAAAATAGCAGATTCAAAAGCTTGAGACACATCAAGCTGATCTAAGTTGCAAAATAAAATGAACTAGTTCTTCTAATTTTCTGCAATAAATCTAAATTCCAAACTCTATCATGATGTCAAATTCCAAAATTCCAAAAAATCAAAGTTTTACTAAGACCTGAAGCAGATTGCCACAAGATTTTCTTCAAATCGACAAATGCGAATTTTTTTTCATAGACCAACAAGTGGCCGAAGACCACACCAACGACCTAAAATTCAGATTTAGAATAATTAGTATCATTCTATGCTACATTGACTTTGGAAACAACATTTCTTTTTCCCTTCAAACTTGGACAATCTTTTTTCCAATACCCTTTCTCATGACAATAGGTACATTCATCTTTTGCGGGATTAACTCTAACGCCTGCTAAACGAATGGGATCTACCCCTAACTGCCAAAGTGTTACTAAGGTGCCGTTTGGTAACACTTACATTTTCAGTTTATATTAACAAAAATTTTAAAAACTCAAATAAAAACTTGTTTGGTAAATTTTTGATTGATAAATCAGTGGTCTCAGTTTATAAATTTGGCCAAAAAATGTAAACTCAAAAAATGAGTTTACGTTTTGAGTTTTGAGTTTTTTTTTTACCACACAACACTAGACACCCCCCGCCACCATTTTTCACCACCGTCTTCCACCACCACCACCCACCCGCCGCCACCACCTGCCACCACTACCTACCACCCGCCACCACCTACCACCACCACCACCACCATTACCCACCATCCACCACCGCCACCACCACCACTACCATCACCCACCACCCACCACCACCACCCCCACCCCCACCACCATCACCCACCACCAACCCGCTACCACCACCTGCCACCGCCACCCACACCATCCGCCATGTTCGTATGGTCGTCACCACCACCACCACCCACTCGCTACCACCCGCCACCGTCACCCACCCACCACCCGCTACCCACCTGCCACCACCATCCACCCGCCACCACCCGCCATCCGCCACCCACCCGCCACTACCACCCATCACCCACTACCACCCGCCACCACCACCCGCCACCACCACTACCACCCACTACTACCACCACCACCACCCACTCGCCACTACCCACCACCTGCCACCGTCACTCATCCACCCACCACCACCACCCGCCACCTACCTGCCACCACCACCCACCCACCACCACCTGCCATCCACCACCCACCTGCCACCACCATCCACCCACCTATCACCGCTTTCCACCACCGTCTTCCGCCGCCACCACCCGCCACTTGCCACCACTTTCCACCACCGTCTTCTACCACCATCTCCCACCACCTGCCACCATTTTCCACCACCATCTTCCGCCGCCACCACCCGCCATCATTTTCCACCACCGTCTTCTGCCACCACTACCACTAGTCACCACCCACCACCCGCCACCACTTGCCATTTCTCACTCTTTTTTATATTTTTAAATTTTTTTAAACATTTTGTCTAAACCAAACACGTTTGTAGTTTATATTTTTCTAAAAATAAACAAAAAATAAACAAAAACCAATTTATAAAATTTTTGTAAATATAAACTGAAAACGTAAACGTTACCAAACAGGCCCTAAATGTGACATTGTAGTTCTCTTTGTCTTTTTTTTTTTTCTATACTCATTGTTAATCAAACTACTAGACATATTTTTAAAACAAATTTCATCATTACCATATAACAGAGTAGTGATAAGATGATCATGTGTGTCAGGAAGAGAATTTAGCAATAAAAGAGCTTTATCTTCATCTTCAATATCAACTTCTAAATTCTGGAGATCAACAAGTATCTTATTGTAAGCATTCAAGTGTTCAAATATCGAAATACCTTCTCGATATTGGAAACGAAAGAGTTTTTCCTTCAAGTTGAGACGACTCTCTATACTCTTGGTCATGCATTTATCTTCCAATTTCTTTCATTATTCTTTTGTCGTAGTTTCTTTCACGATATAGTATTGCATCTCTTTCACTTTCACTAGACACAATCGGATCATGTCACAAGTTTGGTGATTGACTTGTGTCCAATATATTCTCTCTCTATACAAAATCCTAGTTGTTACATAATTATGAACCATTTTTTTCACACCATAAAAAACATGCTTATCGCTCAATATATTATTTCATGCAATAGATTATTGCAACACTTTTAAATTCTTTTGCTAGATACACCTGCAAACTAAAATACTTAGTCAAAAGCACCTGCAAACTAAGATATTTACGAAAGAAAATTTAAAAAAAAAAAATTACTAATGACAAAAACTAAAAATGTGTCATTTTTTATTTTTATTTTTGACCTTTTCATTTTTTTTTCCAGCTTTCTTCACAAATTTTACTTTTTAGAGTATATAAAAATAAAATAAAAAAATAGTGATACATGAAAAAAATTTATTAAAGAAAAAAAATGAAAAATGAAAAATGAAAAAAATATATTTGAGTTTGAAAATAATATGACTTTGCCAATTCTTCTTTCTTTCTTTTTTCTATAGCTAAATTAAATTATACTTATTAGTGAACTTAGTTATAATTTCTTTACAAAATAAATAAATAAGCAAATCACCCATATAAATTTAGCAAATACATGTGAATGAGATTATTGATTATCTTAACATTAATTCTTTTAAGTGAAAATGTTACAAAATTATTATTTTGGTTCATTTTAGTTTTTTTTAAAAAAAAATTTCTTTTCAATTTGTGATTTCGAACTAAACAAGAAATTTTTTTTTTTTTTTTAAATTTACTTTTAACATTCTGCCTATTTGCATTTTTTTCTTCAAAATATGAATAAAAAAATGAACAATAAAAAATATAGGTGTTTGTGTGCGCACGCGTGTGTTCTTTTTAGTAGGGGTGGGCGCGGGTCGGTTGTGGCTACAGAACTTCCAATCCGCCATACATCCGCCAGATTGGCGGATTGGAGAAAATCAATCCGCATCCGTCCGCCAATCCGACGGATGTGGATTGAGCGGATTGGCGGTTTGGCGGATGGATGCGAATCGCTTTGGCGGTTTAAGATTTTATAAATTTTCAACATAATTCAACTTGTGCACTTCCTCAAAAAAAAAAAAAGTATTAC